TTCAGCCCTTGTTCTTGACCCACCCCCCCTCTCTTCCCCCCTCCCACCCTAAACGCCGGGGTAGGGCATGGGGGGGCGTCCGATGCCCGCGGAGAAGGGCATCGGGCGGGCCCTTGTTGTCTTCCCTTTCCCCTTTTAGAGGACAACAAGGGTCCGCATCCCCGCGTCGGCAATGGAAGGAGGGATACGTGAGAGAGAGGGAGAGAGGATGGGAAATCGAGGGTAGGCAGAGCCCTCTCGGAGGTTGGTTGGTTGGTTTGGCTGGATTGTTGTTGGTCGGCCTGTTAGAAGGGTGAGGGTCGCTCCCTCTCTCTTCTGGTGGGCCGCGGGGCTCGCACACAGGAAGGGCTAAGGATCGAAGGAGATCCCCCCTTCCGATGGGCGTGCCCCGGGCCCCCCCGATGGATGTATATAGAAGGGGACACCTTCTTTATATATCCATCAAAACCCTCTAGACGGACGACGACTGACTCGACGAAGACGGGACGGAACTAAGGACATAAGGACATAAGGCAGGGGAACCCCAGCGTTTTTTCAGCCAAATTCTATGGATTCTAGGGGTCGCGGAGCCGAAATGCGAGGCCAAATCGGATCATCCGGGTCATCCGGGTGGAGAACCGGATCGTCCGGGTCATCCGGGTGGGGAACCGGATCGACCGGACCATCCGGATGGGAAACCGGGTCATCCGGGTCGGGAACCGGACCAACCGGATCATCCGGGTGGGGAGCCGGGTCGACCGGACCATCCGGGTCGGGAACCGGACCATCCGGGTCATCCGGGTCGGGAACCGGATCGACCGGACCATCCGGATGGGGAACCGGATCATCCGGGTCATCCGGGTCGGGAACCGGATCGACCGGACCATCCGGGTGGGGAACCGGACTCAACCGTACCATCCCCGTGGGGGACCGGACCCAACCGGACCATCCGGGTGGGGTGCCGGGTCGGGAACCGGACCGACCGGACCATCCGGGTGGGGAGCCGGATCAACCGGGTCATCCGGGTGGGGAACCGGATCAACCGGGTCATCCGGGTGGGGAACCGGATCGACCGGGTGGGAAACCGGACCAACCGGACCGACCGGACCATCCGTGTGGGGACCCGGACCAAACCGGATCATCCCGGTGGGGAACCGGACCCGGCCGGACCATCCGGGTGGGGTACCGGGTCAGGAACCGGACTGGGAACCGGATCATCCGGGTCATCCGGATGGGGAACCGGATCAACCGGATCATCCGGGTGGGGAACCGGATCGACCGGGTGGGAAACCGGACCAACCGGACCGACCGGACCATCCGTGTGGGGACCCGGACCAAACCGGATCATCCCGGTGGGGAACCGGACCCGGCCGGACCATCCGGGTGGGGTACCGGGTCAGGAACCGGACTGGGAACCGGATCATCCGGGTCATCCGGATGGGGAACCGGATCATCCGGGTCATCCGGGTGGAGAACCGGATCAACCGGATCATCCGGGTGGGGAACCGGATCGACCGGGTGGGAAACCGGACCAACCGGACCGACCGGACCATCCGTGTGGGGACCCGGACCAAACCGGATCATCCCGGTGGGGAACCGGACCCGGCCGGACCATCCGGGTGGGGTACCGGGTCAGGAACCGGACTGGGAACCGGATCATCCGGGTCATCCGGATGGGGAACCGGATCATCCGGGTCATCCGGGTGGAGAACCGGATCAACCGGACCATCCGGATGGGGTACCGGGTGGGGAAGCGGACCAACCGGACCAACCGGACCAACCGGGTGCGGTACCGGGTGGGAAACCGGACCAAACGGGTAGTGATCCGGACGGGGAACCGGAACGGGTCGGGAACCGGATCAACCGGGTCTAGGGTGGGGAACCGGACCATCCGGGTGGGGAACCGGGTGGGGCACCGGGTCGGGAACCGGATCGACCGGACCATCCGGGTGGTCCGGGTGGGGTGCCAAATCGACCGTGCGGGGAGTCGGACCAACTGGACCACCCGGGCGGGGAACCGGGTGGGGTACCGGGTCGGGGAACCGGATCAACCGGACCATCCGGACGGGAAACCGGATCATCCGGGTGGTCCGGGTGGGGTGCCAAATCGACCGTGCGGGGAGTCGGACCAACCGGACCATCCGGGTGGGGTACCGGGTCGGGAACCGGACCATCCGGACGGGGAACCGGATCATCCGGGTGGTCCGGGTGGGGTGCCAAATCGACCGTGCGGGGAGTCGGACCAACCGGACCATCCGGGTGGGGAACCGGGTGGGGTACCGGGTCGAGAACCGGACCAACCGGACCATCCGGACGGGGAACCGGATCATCCGGGTCATCCGGGAAGGGAACCGGATCGACCGGGTCTAGGGTGGGGAGCCGGACCATCCGGGTCGGTCGGGTCGGAACCCGGATCCGGAACCGGGTGTTGAACCGGATCAACCGGACGGGAGCCGGATGGACCCAATCGGGCGGACCAACCGGACCGAAAACGGGCGGGGAACCGGATCGAAACCGGGTG